TTTTTCATAGCGTGACCGAATGTGTCGCTCACGAATTGGTGACTATGATTCCGAGAAACTGAACTAAAAGAAACATTCTATTTTAAGCAGCGAATCAGGTCTCTCTAGGATTGCGTGATCTTCGCTAGGAAGTTGACCACTTTGCATTAATAAAAACTTTATTGTCTTACTCTCTACTTTCTCTGTCCCTGAGTAATTAGATAGATTTCATGGCGTGATCTAGTACGCCGTTCTCGAGTCTGTCACTGAAATAGAGCATGCTACGAATGTTTGGGAACAGATTACCTACCTCATTTTCTCTTCTCTACATTTACTGCTGTGTAGCGAATTTGGTATTCCGAGAAACTTGTCTTATTGCAAAAAATAATCAGTATCCAATTAAAAGCGGCCAATCAGATCTCTTCAGAAGAGATTTCGTGTTCTCTCAAGCTGTATGTAATAGCTTCAGTTTTGGAGTTCAATATTTCGCGATTTTCCTAAGCGCGAGAGAGTAACAATAAACAAATGTTGGTTTTCACGTGTTGTCATGATACGAAAATCCGTATCAGGATTGACGAAAAGTAAAATCTGCTTTCCTATAAGAACGGACACTAGCTCTCTAAAGGTTATAACCTATATTGGTTCGTTCGCGTATTGCATTTGGTGTGGATTGTGGACTAGGATCAATGTCAGAGCTAGCTAAGGCTGATGTTGGGTTAAGGGATGGGTAGGTGCGCAGTTGCTCAGATAGCTATAGGCAACCAGTTGTTGCAGTAAAAGTGTCAAATAAATGTACGTTAAAGTGGAAAAACAAAACAAAAAACGCTCGATTGCAACCCTTCTGCGCCACACAGTTTATTCTTATGACCATGCAACTTTCAAACATCAGCCCTCCGGCTCAGTAAATGTAAACGGAGCGGAGGGGGGGACGGGTGAAAAAAGTTACGCTATTGAAAGGATAGATAGATAGATAAATAGATAGATAGATAGATAGATAGATAGATAGATAGATAGATAGATAATTTATTAAAACTGCGTCGCAGCCAAAGGCTGAATTACGCAATCATTTACAAAAACTTTACAATACTTGAAAATTACAAATGAATCCTAGATAATAAATCGAAAAGTGATTTTTTACGATAATATTAAAAAAATCTATACAACGTATTCATATAAATATTTTAAAATATAAAGCATGAATATAAGTGGGATAAAACTACAGCCCGGACTGTTTCAACAACGCATATATAAAAGTTCTGTTCGTGCAAAGCTTTGGCATACTAAAAAGGCGCTGTCTTAGGTTGTATACCGTGAGTTGACATGGTCTGGTGGAAGGAGCGCCTTCAATTTATGGTTTGGATCACAGGCAATGTTATCAAAAAGCCTGCTACACAGTACATAATAATGCTCCAAAATGGGTCTTAACCCCACCTCTGATGCCGAGTTGCACTTTCCTGAGGTTATTATTGATATCGCTCTTTTCTCGAGCCATACCGGCTCTTTCTTTAAGGACTGGGGGAGACCGTTAAAAAATACAGGTGGTGCATAATCAATAACAGATCTCACGCACGATCCGTAGAACGGTGCTAGATCTTTTTTTGGGACTCCCGCTCTCTTTAACTGAGTTAGGNAATACTCAGCGATACTAGACAACCAAACGTCTAATAACATTTATGTATTTCGCTACTCGTTCGGTCTGATCTGCAGAGTTATTTTCTGTTAGTTGTCCAAGCATTCTCGTAGTTTATTCTCAGTCATCGTCAACCTTTGTTCCAAAATCGAAACCGTCTGCCAAAAAAATGGCCCAATAAATATGACAATCTCTCCGTTCAAAACTATCTTTTAAACAGAAAAACAACTTGGCGTTTAAGCGTGAGCTAATACATCCCCTGGTTACATGAAACGTTTCTTTGTACCTCTAGGAAAAAAAATATATACGAGACTGTTTATGACCTCTTTACCGACTGGGCCTTGGACTTGTTAGCCAACCGGCTGATTCCGAAATGAGCTCCAACCTACGGTCAGGTATTCCTTTGTTCAGGGGGAGGGGAGAGACTGAGCAACTGTAGTGCTTTTCCACTCCCATAAAAGACCGCCTAATTCAGGCTAAATGAAACCATGCTTCTTAAAGATTGGTTAAAGGAACTGGCGAGAATTGAGCACACAAAGCCGTGTCCCCCATTTCTTGGTCGTGTGTCTTGTTCAATCATGGGTGTTTTAAAATGTATATTGATCCATTTTTATGTTATGCTATGTGTAAATTTTTATTGGGCCACACTTTTGCCCCTTTCCCCCTGACATGCCCCCCCCACTCCCTGGTATTCTTCCCGATACGTGACAGCGTGATGGGGTCATTGACAAGTGTTCACTCCCCCCTCCCGCCCCTACTCCCAAGGCTCTTGGTTCCAAAGATAATTCCCTGTCCAGAAATGCTCCTACGACAAGCCTGTGTTCGCACATAAAGCTGCCCCACAATGTGTTCAAGTGTCATGCTCAGTTGTGGAGGAATATCTCTTCTTTCCAGGGGTGTAGTGAGGGGAGGCTGTGTAGCTGGGATGCCTCCGAAACCATCAGACTCCCCAGTCCTCCCAGTTACTTCATCTAATTTGCTCTGTCTCTAAAGAATAAAATTTAGGGAAAAAAACCCGGTTAACTTGGCTCTTATACGGAACCAATTCAGGGGAGAGGTTCTCGTAAACTTTTGAAACGACATACAGCGATTATATCAGAAAACATGCAGACCGAAATGAGAACAAAAATCCTTAAAATTCCTAAATCCCCCCCTCCTTCTCACGGACTTAGGCCCTCCTTAATTTATTGCAATTATCCTAGGGACGCGAGTAAGACTGCAGTCTGAGGAGATAAAAAGCTTTTAACTGATGTAATCTGCTGAAGTCAAAAGTTAATCCTACATAGCCTACTTCATCCAAAGAAAAGTTTTTCGTACAAAACAAAAGCAAGTTTATTCATAAGTATGATAAAGTAACTTTGCAAATCAAAGGAGCAAATTTAACACAACGCATTCAGTAGGATATACTTTTCAACAACAAAAAACCTGTATGCAAAACATTTCAAAAAATGCACTTCAATTCTTTTAGGCCTGAAAAAAGTGACTTTCTTACGGCCTGTGATCTGATTTTTCTGCGCTGAAAACATGTCGTCCTTTTGAAATAAGACACCATCTAATTAAATACAGAGCTGTGAAGAGGACCTAACAGATCATCAGCTGTTCCTCACTTCGATTTCGTGGTTAATTTAAAGCACAAACAATTTTCCCGTAAATTAATAAACAAATAAAACTAAGGTTTGTTTACGAAGAACTGATTGTTTGGTTATAATGAATTATATGAA